TCCCTACTTTAAGGGATCAAGGGCTGACGTGCCTGCGGAGTCGTGGGGCTGGTTAGACCAGTGTCGGGTCCCCGCTTCTTAGCGCCCAGCCACCCCACGGGAAATGCACCAGAGAGAAACACCACCGGGAAGACTGGCAAAAATAAGTAGCTACCTCAATCGAATCCACAAATAACACCACCCTGAAATAAACGCAAACTTTCAATCAATGGAATGGAAAGGGGACCCCAGGCAAGGGGAGGATTGAGTGGAGTCTCCCACAGGACTGTCGTAAAGTGGCTTTCCCCTACCTGGCAGAAAGCAATCTCACCCCGCGTTTTTTTCCTCCAAATCTAGGCGTCCCCTTTGGGGTTGGGGTGGGGGTTCTTTTTAGATCGCTTTGGTTATTATTGCCGAGCGCTTTTCCAAAGGATAATTAACAGAAACATTTGAAAAATAAATTTTTAAAAATAAAAAAGAGTCAAGTAGTCTTAAGTGCGGCTCTGGGAAGAGGCTGGCTTCTCCAAGGCATAGAAACTGGCTTCTCAGAGCTAACAGCTTATGAGCCATAAAAATTAAAGGATGTGATGGAAACAATGCTCACAGCAAACACTCGCAGCGTTCCCTCCCGCCCCTCCCCCTCCTTCGCTCCCTGTGAACCAACTTCTCTGTCTACACTTCAGAAGTCTCCGGGAGGTGTGGAGAGATCCTCCATCACGACTTGGGACATTGTAAGCTGTGAAGTTTATGTTTGTGGCGCCTGGGCTCAAACAGCCATTCAGTGGCTTGCTCAGTTATCAAGAAAACAACAATCAGAAAAGATCAGTAAACAGAATCGGCTGCCAGCGCCCTGAATTAACTACTTGCGTTTTAGTTTAAAAACATTGACCCACACTGTACACGCTAATTCTTTTTATTTTAAGTAGTTAGCAAGAATTCAAGATTTGGGGCCATTTTTTAAAGTAATATTCTTTACATAAATGTACACAGAGAAAAAAACCCTTTCCCCTTTTCTCCCTGAACCTCCAAAGAAAATGTGACTTGCCTTGTTGTGACTAATCTTTAGTTGTTGATTAGCAGAAAGGATGTAAATAGTCTTTAATGAACAAAAGTCAAGCATAATTTGGATTATAAATTTCCCTTACAAAAATTGACTAAACTTTACAAATAAGAAAATAAGTACTTTCTGCTTAGTGTACTTGTAGTAGGGGTGGGAGTAAAAACCCAGATTGGTTGAGTTCCATCCACACTTAGCTCTTCTCATGGTTTGGACAAAATTTTAACTTTTTCCCCCTTATTTCCTTAAGAAAATGGAAAAGAGCAAGTAAATCTACATGGGGCTTACCAGAGATATTTCAATGAAAACGATCTTATGGCTTAAAACTTCAAGGTGCTAGGGAAATGCCAAGTACTTCTAGGTACCTTAAAAGCACATTGTCTTTTGGCTAGTAGTCAAAAGAATAAGATAGACCAAAAAAAGAGGTCAATGCCATGAGTCTAAGAAGCTGATTAGGGTGAACAGCAGCAGAGCATCACAAAGTCATATATTTAATCTTGCATTCCAAAAAAAAAAAAAAAAAAAAAGACCTTGTGAATTGGGAAGTGGGTACACACACCCACGAAGAATGTCAAATAACCAGAAATGTTATTTCAACGAAGAAAGAAGCCTCTTTGAATATGGTTTTAACTGAGAAAGGACCTTTTTGAGTGGTAAGGAAAACCAGGTCCATTTAATAAAAAGGAAAGAGAGACAATAAACTCACATAGAAGATGTTATTGCTCTGAAACAATGGGGGGAGGGAATCTTCTCCGAGGATAGATGTTGATAGGGATTGCCGGATTTAAGAAGGGCATCCTGGATGTTTTTAGTCGCATTAAGTTTTAGCTTGCAGAAGCTGGAGGAAATGAGTCATAATATCCAGAAGGAAGAATTCAGAGTCATAAGGGGAGGGAGGATCAAAGATAATAGCAAACACGAAGAATTTCATTAGAAGAGCACAGCTCAGAGCTAGGTCTCCAGAGGTGTACAGGGAAGAGGAGAGTATGTGAAAGAGATGGTTTGCAAACAAGGAGACATTTCAGCTACACATTTTAGAGCACATGCTGAGGAGTCTAGAAGGGAACACACCTTTCATATGAATAATACAAGAACTAGAATGCTATCGACCCATCAATCCATTCTCAGCCATCAAGCAACAAATATCTTGAATCTAGTGAAACCAAATTGTTCATCACTCCCCTCCCAAGTTACTATACTTAAATTCAAGTCGTGGACCTCAGATAGTCTGATATATATTATATATATATGTAAAGCATCACCTCCTTCCCCACCTCCCCACCCCTAATCTAGGGAATAAATGTCAGGATGGGAGAGCATCACAAAGATGTGTGCCTCATTTAAGTCCCTCCATTGCATTCACATCCTAAATAAAGTTGTTTTGGTTTCCCCCTCCCCATTTAACCTCTACAGAGTCCACCAGAGGCTATGACTGGAAAAAGGACTTTAATAGTCTCCAAAGCAGGACTTGGGAGATGAGTAACTTTGCAAACACCAATATTCAGGTTGGACCTGCTATCAGCCATCCCAAATATGATGGGGAGGAAAAAGGAAAACTGAAAAGGCAGGCAAATAGTAATAATGAGCGGGAAGGTAAAAGAGCCAAGTCCGATGCCAGAGATGAGAGAGAGAGAGGGCGCGCAAACGCCAGGCAGATCTTTCCAGGAGATGATCTGTGTGAGATAAGACATAACTCCTGTTTTTCTCAGCAGAAGACCACAAGCCATTATTACCGCCGGCCAAATTATTACCCCTCTGTGAAGAATTAGACACAACAATCAAAGTAATCAACGGGCATGTCTAATGCACTGTAACATTTTCAATGCAAAGTTTGTTTTCTCTCTGCCCCCCACGTTAGAGCCTGTAATTAACCCGTTATGTAGAACGATGCCAAACAAAAGCCTAATTGAGGCTCGTTTCCCGACACGTAGCAGGTTTGGAGAGGGTGAAAGGGGCTTGAGAGCCCGGGAGCCGCGGGGCTCACCCGGCCTCCAGCCGGGCCTCCGAGCTCCTCCCGGTCAGGGGTCCGAAGGGGCACGCGCCACAAGACACACGATTAGGGTACGTTAGTTCTCGTATTTATTAAGAATTGCCAGATATTTAAAACGCCATGACACTCGCGCATACAAACGCATCCATTTTCTGAAGAGTCAAAGTATCATCCTGGGGTGGAGGAAGGAAAGGGGGACAGGGTGCAGCCCCAAATCCTAACCCGCCATCAAAGAAGCACCAAGAAGCCTGATTTCGGGCAGGACCCTTTGTCCATCCCCGGGTTCTCTGGCTCCCACACGGGAAGCCCTGCTACGTGCCGGGGCCCGGGGCCCGGGGAGGCGGGGAGCGTGTCCGAGCGCCGCGGGGGCCTGCACAGCACGCGCCCCGGCCCAGCCCGCAGCAGGCGGCTCCCCATCGCAGCCTCCGCCGCGGCCCGTCCGCGGGTCGGGGCACTGGAGTTGGGGGAGAACGGGGGAAGGGGGAGGGGGTGAGGACACAAGTTGGGGGTGGGGTAGAGAGACAAGAAAGGACACACTCTGACTGGTCTGGGAATTGCTGAGAAAATTCTCTCCCCTCTCGGCCTGCTCTTCCTGCGCAGAGAAAGCAGCATTTCTCAATCGGCTGACAGCCGCAACCGGTAAATAATGGTCATACCTCACTGACAAGGCAGAAAGGCGCTCTTTTAGCAAGAGCCTCTACTTGAAATATGGGTCATTTCAACAATCCTAAGCAGGAGACTTTGGTATAAAGCACTTACTCCAAGAAAACAAAATAGACTCAGAATCAAAACCCATTTTAAGCAGGACCTTCTTCCTTTTTGGGGCGGGGCGGGGCGGGGCGGGGTGGGTCGGGTCAGAAAAGGGAAGGAGAGGTGGCGAATGGGTCGGAGGACATCATCTCATTTTCAGAAAAGCAGTAACGGTATCAGAGCTGAGAACTAAAGGCTTCCAACCAATTTTGATTTGACTAGTAAAATGCAAACTGGCAAGTTCGACCTTAACTATTTGCAGTAAAACATCACACCTATTGTACGTCAGTCTACCCCGTTCACATGCAGTCCTTAATTTCAGACATTTTAATGGCTTACTTGTAAACATATAAAAGAGGGACCCTGGATCATTGCATTTATTTATTTATCTATGCCAAACGTTTATTAGTGAAATAGTCCTGAAGATATAATTCTACATATGGCGCTTTGATTTCACATAATATTTAAGAAAAAAGACAAAACACATAGAATTAGACATATAATTCAAAGACCACGGTATAACCTTTATCTTTTTTTTTTACTTCAGCAAACAAAAAATGTCAAATGACATGAAAAGTGGCAAGTCTTTCGACAATAAATAATAAATTACTTTATAATTTTTGCAATGCAAGAGCAAACAAAAAAAAGTTTCCTTTTTTTCCTCTTTATTTCCAGAGAGAGAGAAAACAGTCATTTTAACCAATAACTATACACATCTTTGGGGGAAAAGTTCTTGGACAGACACAAGTCAAACACAATCCCGAGACGCTTGTGGCAAAATAGAGGTAACCTTGTTGCAATGCTTTATAAGTTGGTTTTTAAATTTGAATTCAAAAACCTTTAAAGTCGCTTCAGACTTCTTGATAGAGGATGGATCTCAAAAAAAAAAAAAAATAAAGAAAGAAAGAGAGAAAGAAAAGAAAAAGAAGAAGAAGGGGGAGGGGCAAAAGTAAAAAAGAAACCAGCTACAGGACATGCTAAGAGACCCAGGATTTCAATTAACCCCTTGTTAAAGTCAACTAAAAACATCGCAAACCAACGCAGCTCCACCTTCCTGAAAGGACTCTTTCAGCCAAGGAGGCCAGTTTTCTCTTCCTGCTCATTTGCTGGAGCTCCTGTTTGGCAAGGCAATGACCAATATAGAAACAGCACCATTCAGAATAGGATGGACTAGAAAATCTCTATTTCTGCTTTTTCTCTAGATGTGCAGTGAAATGAAAATGCTTTTTTTTGAGATCCTTGAATATAAATCCTCTACGTTTTAAAAACGTCTTTTTTTTTTTTTTTCAGTACTCCTAAGGTCATTGGATAGCGTATGTTGGGTTTGGGTTTTGTTTGTTGTTTAATTCTAGTAAAATCCCATGATTGTCTTCACAGTGTTGCTACCATATCACCTTGTCATTAAAACAGACTTCGTGCATTTCATGGAGCATTCATTCCTCGATTCAGTTTTCATTGACTGGGTCGTTAAATACTTTTGTTTCGGAGTTCAACATTATACTTTCCCACTTTCTCCAACAGGGAAAAAAAAAATACATCTGAATGAATGTTCCTCATGCCTCAATAGGACTGGCTACCATGCTGTTAGGTGTATCTGGGAGCTGAGAGGACATCGACGCCACTTCACTGCCAGTGGAATTAGAGCCCGGTCCTCCTTCTGAAAAATTCACCTGCACAGAAGGTGGAGAAATGAATAAAGGAGGCTGCGATTGTATTCCTAAAAGGATTATAAGCTTGTCCTATGTGTCTATGCATGAACAAGTGTGTGTGTGTATAGATGGAAACGTAGATAAAGATATCCACATAGATAATTGAATTTCAACAGTCTTAAAGAAAGCCCTCAAAGAAAAGAACTTGAGAAGAAATCCTCTGGCTTTCCCATCTTTCAAGAGATCTCTGTTTTAACTGAAACTGAATTCCCAACATTATGTTGCGTTAAATTATTTAAGAACAAATGTGTTTCCCACTGTAAAATGGCATCGCAACTCTACCATGCATGCTCGAAATAAAATTATCCTGCTGGCTACATGTTGCCCCGGGAGCAGGCGACTTCTCGGTCTCTAGGCATCAAAGCCTCTCTTCTGGAGTTGGAAAATCCATAACACACGCTCAGATCACTCAGATCGTGTGACAGGAGATTCAGAGGAGGCTCCACCGAACAATGATTAACTCCTCAGAGGGTTCACAGCGTGGGCTTTCTTCCTTGTTGTTGGTCCTGATGCCTTTTGGCCTTTCTCTGTCTTTCTCTTTCTCTCTCTCTTTAAATCAGGCTCTTCCTTCTGAGAGGAGCCCCATACATTATAACGTCATCGCATTATAAATATCTGGCTCCTTCTTTTAAACCGAAAGTATTGTGTTGCTGTTGGAAACCTTCTCCACTCTGTCCCCAACCCCCGCCCTCCTGCCTTGGCTTCCCTCCCACTGTTCTCATCTAACACGAAAGTTTTAGAAGGTACAAACACTTGGCTGCCCTGAACGCCCCTCTTACCTGCCTTCTATGATCGGGTTTTGCTTAAATAACACGTAAGATGAATCTCACTTTAAAATAAGTTCTTTTTCCTAATTCCAGAGTCTACCTTCCTTTCTAACCTATTGAACTTTCCCACGGTGAGGTTAAGGGGCTCCTCCAATTTATCTAGCCTCTAGACTGGCCCACTTACAGATGTAAAGCTGGGCCAAGTCCTTGCAACCACTGCCTCTGGCCTATGACCTAACTGTTGCCACAGAGAAAGAAAATGCTCTCCAGGTAAATGTGAGGGTGAAAAGCTAACCCCGACACAAGTTTTATTTTCAAAGAAAGGAACAAAGTTTTTAGAATTGATCTTGTTTTATAGAACAAGATTCTATAGGACTGTTGACTCTTATAAGCAAAAGAAAATTATGTGTATGTGTGTGTACATATATATATATACACACACACACACATATATACCATATCACAAAGTACATATATTTAATAATCTTATTTATCTTGCTCCTCAAGCTTTTTGTAGGCATAGGATGAGTTCATTTTCTCTTTTCTGGATGTGTAAAACATATTAATGTGAAAACAGGTTCTCATGTGCTGTCTCTTTGACTGGGAGAACTCATACTTCTTTTGCTATATATCCCCCAGAGTATGTGGTTGTGTATAACGTCTGAACTCATACACTTAAAATGTTAAAGCAGTTCTACATTTTAGATTAAGATGGTCCTAGAAAGGAATGTGAGTAACAAAGTATCAATCATATCCTTAAATAACTGAACTCTTTACTGATATATTTGAAAACCGTACCCAGCCAAGTGCCCGCTGCTCATTGATAATAACATTGGTAACGTCTTACATCTGTTATTATTACAAACAGCTAGATTTGGGTCTTTAAATATACCATTCCCTAGGATCTGAGGCGAGAATAAATTTACTACTTGCTGATCAAAAAGTCAAGGTGATCTCTAAAGTCCCTTCCAGCTCCAAAAGTCTGAGATGTATGATTTTGCAACTCTGCACGCCTTCCCACACATGTCTAGTTTGTTTGATACCTTCAAGTTATCCCTCAAAGAAGGCCCGGCTGATAGGAAATTCAACCTATATGGTCATGTTATGAACTCACAGAAAAGACTCACAAGAGGTTTGTTTTCCTTGAGTGCTTAGCTCCTCTCACCAAGCCTCCTTCCTCTCTCCCCAACCCTGGGGCCAGGGAGGCACCCTCCCCCCCTGAATCCTTCCTTGTGTGACAGTTAAGCCAGAATCTTCTTTTTGTTGGAGATTCAACCTCCTGACTCCGAGAGCTGAGACTTACCAGTTGCTGAAAAGCAGGCTGATCTATGTCACTCTGCAAGGCGAAGTCACTCAGTACTTTCCAAGGCGGCTGGTAACTTTGCACCTCCACTGGGTTTGCCTGTAAGCCACCATCATGTCTCTCTGGACTGGCAGCCACCATGGGAGTTCCTGTCATCCCCTGGATATTCTGTGAATAGGCCCCCCCAACCCCAACATGTTAATGACCAAACTCCCTCCCTCCATTGTCTGCACAGGCTAAGCAAATAAACCCTGGCATTATCTTATCTATATAGTGGCTATTATTGACTCGGTTAATCTGCTGCATGTATGGATATTAGCCAGAGTGCAGTTTTGTTTTATTGTATTTTGTTTTTCTGTGGGCAGGACTAGGAGGTCGGCTTGGACCTTATTAAGCGGAGTTCTATTCTGACTTTCTCCTTTCCCTGTACATTCACAGCATATCCCAATTCCCCCATCTGCTTTCACAGGCCATAGCAACACAGAAGCAGAAAGCTGAGGCAAAAGAGGCCCCCCCCCCCCCCGCCGCCGGCAGCCACCAGACATGGTGGTTTTCTGGGCAGTTTCAGTTAGATTTTCGGTTACATTTTCTACAGGCCCTTCTCTTCTTCACAGCACCAACCCCCACCCCCAAGGGTTTAGGTCTGGCGGCTATTGTGCCACTAGGCACTCACCAGCACTCACCAACGTGAAAAGTGCCCCAGCCCAGGCTTGGCTGGCCTGCCAAGTTTAATGACAGCAGGGGTTTTATGGCATTTAAAAATAGGGCTGAAGCGGTAAAAAGAAAAAAAAAAAAAAGTAGCTCTTTAGTTTAACTCAATCAGGAGGCCTGCCAAGTGGCTGCTGGCATGGGCCTGGGATGACAGTAGATAATAGTATCTCTGGAAGCCTGGGCTAGACCTAGAGCAGAGGGTGTCCTGTTTCTGCAGGTCACCTTGGGGAACCTCGCTGACCTGACGGTGCTGGGACATGCCCAGAGGGTTGCCTGGGTGACCTGCCCACCAAATCTCTGCATTAGACAGAGAACCAAGGAATTGTCCCTCTGTCTGGTGCCTGAGGAACCGACAACCTGGAAGTTGATAAAGTGGAGCCAGGCCTTGCTGCCTCCTGCCCATGAAGGGGTGACTGCATCCTTCTGGTGCCAGCCTAGGGGCATGGTTGAAGGACACAAGCCCACCCTGTGGGCCAGCACTGGGCAGGTGGCCTGGTGCTGGCTGCTTCTCTCCTGGGCGTGGGTAGAGGTAAGGGGCTGCAGGCTCCTCCCCTGGAACAGGATGACACCCACTCTCAGGCCAACCTGGGAAGCCACCAAGCACCTCACACTCTTGCTCTGCTCTCCCCCACTGCCCCCAAGTCCCCTACCCGGCTCCAGGGCCACTCACAGTTTTGTCATTGGGCTGCTGCTGCTGGAGCTGCTTCATCATGATGCTCCGCTTCTTGTCCTTGCACCGCTTGTTTTGAAACCAGACCCGGATCACGCGGGGGCTGAGGCCTGTCATCTCCACCAGTTGCTCCTTCATGAGCGCGTCTGGCCGGGGGTTGGCGGCATAGCAGGTCCGCAAGGTGTGCAGCTGCTTCTCGTTCAGCACAGTCCGAACACGGGTGGTCTTCTCCGGCTGCTTGTGGACGTGGGGCCGCAGGGCCGGCTGCCGGGCAGAGATGGGCTCGGCTGCGAGGCAAGGGGCACGGTGAGGTGAGTGCCAGCTGCTCGCCCTCCCGTGCAGCACCCAGACAATGGCCCCTGCAGCCTCCACAGACAAAGCAGTGGAGGCAGAGGTGGGGACCAGGGAAGCAAAAGGGAGAATAAAATCTGGCTTTCTAGTCTGAGAGGTCAATGCTGAGTAATTCAGGCCCAGAACACAGCCTCCACCCTTGATCTAGCTGACACAGCCTTAGGAAAGGGGTGCACGTCTCAGGGGTAGTATCTTTCAGCATTAATTCTCTTTCCTCCTCGCCCTTCCTTACACCCAGACTGGGTCCAGGTTAAGGAGAACCCCCACCTCTAGACTCTTGGGCAAAGGGCACAGAAGGTACTAGGAAAGGAAACACAGTACACCCCGGCATCAGCCAGAGACACTACACCAGCCAAGAGGTATCTAATGCAAAGGCCGAAGGGAATTCTGCCAGAAAGCCTTGAACTTCCTTCCAGAGAGGGCAATCGTGTCAAGGGGCTAAAGAAATTCAGTATTTCAGCCATCACTGCAGTCCTTGATCTTTCTGACTACTAATCTACCTGGCCGTTCCTGAGATGGGCTCACTCCATGCAAAGGAAAACCGAAACTGTAGAGCTGTCTACGCTCTAAGTAAATGACAGCTGGGAGGTGTTCTGTCCCCTGACTTCCTCTCAATATTTCCACTTCTGCTCTGTTTCCCCACAAGCAGAGCACAGGTTGCACAGGATAGAAACCTCCACTCTGGCTCTGCCCGTGTGGAAGCTGGTCACACATCCCCCAGAACAGGAGTCTTAGAGCCTCCGAAAAAGCAGAGTGGAAGATCCGGGTTTCCTCGACATCAGTGTTCAGTGAGAATTGATATACTTTAAAAATGCACCAGGTAGATCTACTCATGAGGGGAAGAAAGGTTGGGAAACATCAGCTGCCTTCTTAGGGAAGTCCTCTTCCTGGCCAATCTTGCTCTGTTTCAACTCTCCTTCTTGGGGAAGGACTCTCTGAAATGTACGGCACAAATCCTGCACCTTCCAGGACCCCTAGGGTCAGGTCAAAACCTACTGGGTCAATTTAGTGTTACAGCGACAGGCCTGAAGATGAAATTCTCACCAAATCACATAGAACGAAAGGTTTAAAGAGGCAGGCTCCCTTTAAAAGTCAATTACTGCAGATTAGCTTGTTGACAGTTTTAAATCACAGCTCTGTGCAGTGGCCTGAAGTTATGAAGACTGTTATCTTTTCCCCTCCATTCTTTCACAAAAGTCTAAAAATAAATTTTAAAAACGTTTCAGAGTGTGGGCCAGTTGCAAGGAAAAAGGATCTGAGGGGCTGACTTAAGGCCCCCTCCGCTTCCTTCATTGGGTTAAAGGAGGAAGCTCCGGGGGCCCAGAGCTCCACCCCTTTAATTAGGCAGCGGCAGGAAGAATACCTGGCGGGAAGCTGAAGCCCATTTTCAGTAAGCCGAAGTTTGGAGGCCAAGGTGAACTGGAAGTCCTGTCTGGACGTGTGTGTACACGTATGCGCAAGCGGTGTACATTTATGTGTACCCATATATAGACACACAGCCGCGTAGGTGTGCTGGCAGGGGGGCAGGGGTGAGTCAGGGGAGGCAGTGAATGCACTGAACCTCGCGCGCAAGAGCGAAGCGCAGTGCCAGCTGTTCCCAGAACGCTTCCTTAAGCTGCCTGCCGCTGCGCGGCGACTGCCCTGTGGCTGCCAGGGCTGCTGCGGTCGGGAGCCGTCCCGCCGGCCGGGGCGGCGCTGGCCTAGCCTGGCACCAGCCTCCCCCAGCTGGCCTCCCTCCGGGCACGGAGTACCTGCCATTTGCAGCGGCCGCGCCGGGTGCAGCGGGCTGAGCGGATCGCCAGCGCCCAGGCTGGCCCTCTCCACCACGTCGTGGTCCGCACGGCAGAAGAGCCCGTCCTCCCGAAGCGCGAACTCGTCGCCGGGGATGAGCTGACGGCTGCAAGCCACGCAGCGGAAACACTCGATGTGGTACACCTTGGAGCGGGCGCGCATCACGAAGTCGTTCTTGCTGAAGCCGATGCTGCACTTGGCGCATTTGATCCCGTACAACCTGCGCGCGGGGGGAGGCGGGGGGAGCGGGGTGAGAAACACAGAGGGGGGTCACTTCAAGCGGGCATGGCCCGGGCCCCAAACTGCGCAAGAGCCCAGCCACAATGCCCTGGGACACTGAAGTCAGCATCCGCTGACCAGCTGAGAATGGGAGGCTAGAAATGATTAGGTTTCTCTCTTCTCCTCTCCCCTCCTTTCCTTTCCTATGAACCTCGAAGTCTCTGTCCGTCCGTACCTACCAGTTCAGAACAGCCGCAAAATAAAAATGTTCGATGTGTTGAAACCTGGGCCTCTGTAACCCTTACAGTTGTCGGCAGAAAGGAGTCCCGGGCAGCTCTAGAGCCACTGGCCCCACACTTTCGCCTTCCTACCCCCCCAATTTCTGCTGCCAGAAATGTCTCTCAAACTGCTACAAAGAGTCCTTCCAAGAGAAAAAGAGGTTAGGGGATGAGACTGTCAGCGCATTCGTTTGTAAATATACACCAATGCACAAGCAGAGTAGCAAAATGAAACCTCTGAGGGTTTCCAGATCCCCTTCTGCACAATAAGCACGTCGTAGTCTGCCTAACTTTTTTCCTCCGGCAACACTGTTAACAGAAAGTTTTCCTCTCCGTTCTTTCTTTTATTATCTTTGAAATCTGCCCCTGCTCCCTCAATCTTTTTCAAGTTATTGAAGCATCTACTTCTATTTCAGTTTGCCTGAGAACCACGACCAGCCAGAAAAATGAAAAGACCCACTTCTAAGGTCTTTCTCGCTGCTGACCTTTCCCTACAAGGGACAATCCTTGTCGGTTCCACCTAGGGGGCACTACCCTGGCCCCCTCTCCATGTATCAGTAATAACAGAAGTGGGGGCATTCCTACAAACAGAATGGGCTGGTGGAAAAAATACATTGGGGGGGGGCGGGCACCTCGCTCCCCCAAGGGAAGCAAGGCATTAAGAAACCTTGTCCCCCATTCTACTTTTAAAAGGACAGTTCAAAGGGACACATGCACAAACACACACACACACAACTGAAAGAGAGAGAGAGTGAGAGAGAGGAGGGAAAAGGTAAAAGCAGTGGGCTCCTTTTATAAATGTGTATGCAGAGTTAGGTACAGGAAGGTCTGTATGCAAAAGACCCTAGCTCCATAGGAGGAAAGATAGTCCTAGAGGTGCAAAGTGAGCTCTCCCTCTCCAGAATCCTGAGCTCACACACTAATCAAGTAAACAATGAAAACGTCTCATTTGTCTGAGGTTAGAAGGTAGATTCAAAAGTTTTTCCTCCCTCCGCCTACTCTATGTGAGATCTTCCATTTCATAGGATGAGGACTTTACCTTGCCTGTGACCAAACAATTTGGAAAATCCCTCCCCTTTCCTCTAGTTCCCCACTTCCCCTATTTCCTCCCACTCTCTCCCTGCAAAGTATTAACACCTCCCCCAATTGCTCAGTTTTACTTATCAAGATTATACTATTTCATGATTTTACAATAAGAAAAAGTATTAGACATTAAGTGGACAGGTAAAATTGTGACTGCATGCTTAAATCTTGACTAAACTTTAATAGAAGTTCTCAGCTCCAGAAATTCTGTAACTTACAAAAGCCAATTACTTATTAATAGCCACTGGAGAGTTTTTAATACATATATATACTTCGATATTATTTAACATATAGTGAAGATGTTAACTCTTCTGTTTGTTATTAAAGCAATAAAATTTTCTTTAGGAATTCTACTTGCTTCCTAAGGCAGAAAATGAAATTTCTGACATATAGATACCCAGGTTAGAGAAAATTTGAGATTTGTGAACATGAAGTTTATGCACAGAATAAACTGAAAGAGAGAGAGAGAGAAAAAAAAAGAAAACTCATAAAGTTCCCTGTGTCGTTTTTTTACTAGTCTTGCCAGTATGGGCAATTCACTCATTTTATCAGTTACCAGATTTTAATGTGAGAAAGGAAGCTGTTCAATTATCTAAATATACCAATTGTTCGTAGACAGATGATGGGCAATTTGATCTGCTCTGTCTAATTCATCAGCTCAGATAAGATAAGAAAGAAAAGATAGTCAGATGTCACCAAAGGGTTAATATTTAAAAAGATTAAATTTCCGGTCTTTTTGCTGGGAATATTTGGGTTGGTTTTGAAATTTTCCAAGAAGGGACTCCTGCCCTAAAAGTAAAAGGGGCAATATTTCTATTTGCACTTTCAAAGTGCACTTCTAAAATCCTTAGTTCAAACTTTCATTTTGCGTATTGCATTGACATTTCCACAGAAATTGTGAGTTACTAATGAAATACCCAACTATGAAAATAAATGAATAGGGGAAAAAATCCGCATGATACAATAAAAACCGACCTTTAAGAAAGAAAGCTTAGAAACCCCAAGTTATCCATCTTTAAATTGGTTTGTTTGTTTTGGAAGGGGGGGAGGGTAAAAGAAGAAAATAATTTGAGCATCGCAAATTCCAAGAGCAATTAAACGAGCTTCACGAACACACAATTTATAAAAGCCATCATTTAGTTGTGGGGGTCCCCCCCAAACAGTGGAATAAACAGAACAGTTTAATTTATGTAACACATTTAAAGGGCAACTTTTGCACACTGGACCCCACTAAGGCAAACTTCGCAAAAAGACAAAGCCACATCAAATAATAAAAAAGGAGTAGGGAGAAACAGAGAAATCTCAAAAATTAAGGAAGCAATATAAATGGCGTACCTGATATAATCTCTTTTACAGTAGGTTTTCCCATCTCTAACAAAGCAGGTACAGCTCTCGTCCAAATACTGATTACACTCCGCACATTTCAAACATGCCGCATGCCATTCCAAATCCGGAGAAACCCTCAGAATATACTGATCGTGAATCTGATTGCCGCAACCAACACATAGGGAAATCAGACGTTTTTCTGAAATGAAAATAAATACATGATTGACTAACCGTTTACTTCCTACAGAGATAAACACACTTTTAGTGTCGTTCTCTTAAAGGGCGTACTCTGGGAGTTTCCCCCCCCCTTTCTTTCTTCTTCTTCTTTTTTTTTTTTTCTTTTTAAGAGTATTGCACTTTGGGATGGTAATTGAAGTGTGCCATCAAAACCTTGACTCATTTTTTAAAAAAGGAGGTGGAATATATGTAAAATGCAGATTTGAACAGTCTACATTTGTAAGCCTAGCACGCAATCAAACCCGTTCATTTTGTATTTCTTTTTCCTCCCTCCCTCTCTGCCATAATCATCGGGAAAGATTATGGATAAGTCAAGTCAAAGAAAAGGTTTTGACTAGAAGCGTTAAGTGAACGCTTATATTTTTCAGGAAGCACGCTCTTAAATAGCACATAGGACTGGATATTGTTAGCAAGAGCAGGCATCAATACAGTTGTCACTCGTTCTCTTTTGCAAGTCTAATGCTAATTCACATCTCCGGGTATTGTATGTACGGGCAGACCTTTGCAACAGAATAACCTTCTCGGAGAGCTCCACATTCCCGAGGAGGAAACCACCGCTTAGCACCAGAAGGCTAGGGTTTTGGAGGTCACACAGGCGAATTCAAACACAAGGTACGATCAGTCTCCCGAAGATCAGAACCGACAGCAAGCATGCAGGCGTGGCGGCAACAAGGGAAAAAAAAAAAAAAGCCACCTTTTCTCTCTCTCCCGGCAATGACTCCAACTCTGAAGAGCTCTTGGCACCCGAGCCTGAGAGAGACCCGCGCACAAGAACAGCACACCGAGCCCCACAAGGTAAAATAGCCTCTTACTTTTTGGTGGATCTCCCATGTCTCCCATATCTGTAAGAGGGAGTAATGTCCACAGTGAAATGGTGGTTGTACAGTTGGTGAACAGCCCTCAGAGAGGATGCTGGAGCTGTGGCTAAGTGGGAAAGAGTGGCCCCTGGGGTTGCCAAGGCTGAGAGAGCCGCTGCCCGGCTGCGCCGCGCCCTCGCGGATCTGGGAGTCCAATTTAAGCCGGCGGAGTTGGCGGAGCAGAGGCGCTGCGGCGGCGGCGGACTCGGCGCGGCTCGGGCACCTCTCTTCCTTATCTCTTACTCAAACTTCTCTGCTCCAACTCAGCTCCATCGCCATTGGTCTGACGCAGCGCGCGGGGACGTCAGGCGAGCGCCGCGCCCATTGGCTGCGGGGCGCGCGGCGCAGCTGTTCTGATTATCATATTTCAGCCTCGCCGCCGCCGTGCGCCACTGACCGCTCGGCGAGCCCGCGGGAGAGGATTAGGGCTCCCGAGGCAACTTGCTGCGGGCTCAGGCCGCTCTCGCCCGAAGCTCGGGCTGCCCGGCGGCTCTGGCTTCTGGCTTGCCTCTCCTCCTCCTGCCCCCTTCCCCTGCTCCTTCCCGGCCGCGCCGCCAGCGCCCTCGCCTTCTGTCGCGCCGCTCCTCGGCCCTGCGCTCCTGGGGTCCCCGCGATCCGGCTGGCCGTGCTGCGCGCGGGGCACTTTTCTGCCGCCGGTGGCGAGTGGCTGGTGGGTAGGTCTTCCTGATGACGAGGTCCTTCCAGAACTCTAGGAAAAGGGGCGACTTGGAACAGGCCGTTGGGCTCGGTTTGGGCTGGCGCTGTGGCGCGCAGCTCCGGGCCCGGCTTGGCTGCTGGGGAGGGGGAGTTCCCGAACCGGCTGCGCCTGGCGCGCTGGGAGCTGCCTAGTGGGAGAAGAACCGGCAATCGGAGGACTAGACCCACAGGAGGTGTTCTCTGCTGCTACCCCAAACCCCGTTACCCACCGACCTCAGGTCTCCAAAAGGCTGGGGCGGGAGGGAACGAGCGCTTGTTGTTGCCTTAGCGGAGAATCAGGTTGGGAGCACGCAGGTAAAATCAAGTTGATTCCGCGGACTCCTGTCTCTTCGTCCGACCCTTGAGTTCTACTTTTGCAGTTTTAACGCTCGCGTTTGGAAGCGCACTAACCCGAAGCCCAAGAGAGAAATGACCTTCCAGTAGTTGAAAGTTTGTAAAGCGGTTATATCCTGGCCAGTTCCTCTCTCTGCTGCTCTCCGGCCCTTTGTTTTTAAGCAGACGTGTGCAGTTTGCTGCTGGTGTTTCTGTCATTATAAGGACACAGGTCTCCATGTCTCTAGTCTAGAGATTAAAAAAAAAATGTGTTAGTCTAAGGGCGCGAGTAGGGAGAGATCTGATACTGAAGAGCGGTGAAATGCCTATTTCACTTCACCGGGTTTGTTTATCTAATACTTTTCTCTCGGGGAAACAACCTGGAGAGAGAAGAATGTTGGCCAAGTCGCCGGCGACCTTTTTGAATAATTTCTGACACGTTCCCGTCACCCTTTACAGTCTCCCAAAAGCAAAGTCACAGGACAGACCACGAAGAACACCCACACGTCTCCCAGAGCTTCTAAATAGCGTTTCCTTCTCTAATGGGACTGCCAGTTTTCTCCTAAAAGGTCCATAAACCCAAACAGTAGAAGGCTTAATTTCGGTGTCTTGCTGCCGCGGCGAGAAAACCCAGTGTGAGAGCAAACTCCTTTCTTTGTACTTTTCGCCAGATTTAACCCTTGATAAGAGCGGTGAGCTCTCAACTGGCCTCTATGGCTCGGTTCGCACGGTTATGCTTTTCTAGAGCGCAAAGGGAAGCGAAGATGTTTGAGTTTCCTCCTGACCGAACCGGGCTTTACCAAGAACACGTATCTGTTTCGTTTTGTTTTCTCTCAAAGAAGAGTTTTAACTGGATCTCATGCCTTCTATTTTTTTTTTTTAAGTTTTATAAGTTAGCGTATGTGTGTGAAATTGAAAGTTGGAATAGACATAGGTTGATAAATTTATCAGGTTTTTGTTTAAAAATGTGTTTTGTTTAAAGTTTCTAATCTCTTGTATTATATGCATGGAGCCTTTTGTCAGGCTGCTTTTGCAAACTGATGCTGGTAATCAAAACACAAGCAAGTCTTCCTGATATAAGGGCATGTTTCCCTTATAGATAACCAAGTTGACTCTAGTTAAAAAAAAAAAAAAAAGAAAGAAAAAAACAGATACCACTATAATGCCAGAAAGGAAATAGTGGGTTTTAACCAATCATATTCCATCATGCTACCTTTGTAACATGGAATTAAACAACAGAAGCTACCAGAAGCCTGATGAGATCCACAAAGCGCCTTCACTATCCATCCTCCTTCAAATCAGTCACACACAGTGTGATATTTTAGCTTCCGAAACTAATAACCGATCCCAAAGAATTATTACCAATGATGGTAGCAATTCCAAATAGAAAAGCTGGCATGGAGGAAAACCTTTACTACTGGGCAATTTTGTCGTAATGGTGAAAACACGTTTTCTTTTTCTTTTCTTTCTTTTTTTTTTTCAGCCCACACGGTTAGTATAAACAAGTATTTTCTTAATAAGTTCCTAAGCCGATAGAGGTGAGAATCAAGCAGAAGATACTCCTGTTAAGGGAGAAATTTGAAGAAACCCACTGATAGGTGGTTCCGTGATGGGTGTGCTCTAGAGTTCTATGTTTATTGCTAATACATTTTGCGTTAAAATCGAAGTTAGGGGAGCAGCCATTATTTTTTCACTTCACGTTGAAGCTCATATCGGACCACAGATTATTCTCCTGTTGCCTTAGCTGGTTACTGTCTGTGCATTTAATGTATCAAATATATCTGTAAAAAATATTTGTAATGTTTTTATGGAATATAACAAAATTATGATTAGCAATATTTTCCCCCCCCCCGTACTTGATCTCAGGAGCGACCTCTTGTGTTCAAAGGGGAGATTAGACCCTCTCCTGACAAAAACGGACTTATTTTGACCTTTGCATCTTCTGTTAGGTCAAAAATATATCTTTGAAAACAGCAATTGTTTGAATCCCCTGCTGTGAGCTCCTCCACTGATGAGAGAAGCAGTGACATATTGGTAGTGACAAAGTATACTGCCCGTTAGTCCCCCATTACCCCGATATACTTCACAGTGTCTTTGAGTATAAAAGATATTCTGAGATTTAGTAAGTTTCTCTTGAATCTGTGGCATCCGCCCACTTGCACTTGTATGCACCTTCCAAAATACGACTGTTAAACCTAAAACTGGTGGACTCTTGAGCCCATGGGTCTGAGTGCTGTTGCTTTCTTTCTCTGCTTTAAAATTTAAACATTCCGTATCAAACTTAATGCCAGATATAGAGTCCTGAGCAAATATGTTCTCAGGCTCCTTTTCAAAAATCTAAACCGGTTTTAATTGCAATTGAGAAATGGCATTACACATTTTGAATGTATTTATTTCTCAAGAAACTCTGGCAGATATAAGTGAATTTTAAGTCCATTCTTCAGGAAATTATGTGCGGAAAGGGAAAAAGCTTTTTCCTTCCCATTGGGAAGAAAAGGGAGTTTTGATCAGCTTTCTCTGAACTATGGATTTGTTTGGAAACTTATTCTGAGGGGGGTGAAGCTCTCTTTAGCCCACATCAGAATCAGGTTTGGAAGAGTAGAATAACAGTTTGACTGCCAGTTTTTATAAGTAAGGTATTCAGATAGAAAATACATATATGACTGAAGGATTTATCTTTTCTGAGATCCCCAAAACCTGTAATTTGAGGGTCAAAATGAAACATGAGCCTATTTTATTCACCTCAGGAAATAGTTATAGAATATATACATATATATGAGTGTATATATGTGTGTGTGTTTATATATATGTGTGTGTATATATATATACACACACACACCATTCCCCTTTTCATTTTTACTTTTTCTGTGTAATCTTAATCATGTGGAATAAGGCTAGATAAACCATCAGTATCTTAAATTATATCCAGGGGTCAGATAGAATTATGTGCTAAAGGGAACGATGGTTAACCATTTATATTCCACACTAGAATTAGGGTGTGGGTGCTTTGGGCCAATTTGCCCCTCTTCCAGTTGTTTTAGGTGGCAGCTTGGCGAGGATGAAATCCAAAGAATCTGCACTCTAATTTCAGAGGAAAAGAGAAGAGATCTTTCTGTACCATTGGGTTTGAAATGATTGTCTCTCTTTCCTTTAATTGTTCATTAAAAGCAAATACCAAGCAATGATAATAATAAAGGCAGTTGTTAACAACAACAAACCTTCAGTTGTGATTTTCATTTTATTGACGAGGACTCCTGCTGCTAATGTGGTTTTGAGAGTGTCAATTGCTTTATTAACCAGTTAAAACAATCTGGGTGAATGAGCCAGAATCTTCTGCAGGCAGAACTTCCTAGCCTGCGTTTCTGGGTGCAGGTAGCTGTTTCTGTCACCAGTGTTCCCGATATTCGCAGACTGCAGCTCAGGAGGCAGCGTTCTCGTGCGGTCTGCTGCTCGATTCCCAGCCTGGATAGAATTCCACGCTCCCGGCAGCAGCGGGGAAGCCACAAACCTCAGATCAGGCTTGAGAATGTCAGGTTCCGCTGTTCATTGCAGAGAGGAGTTCCACCAATTGAGGACAGAAATTTACACCATTTAATATTATGCTCGCACAAAAGTGGCTGGTAGTGTGAGGTGAAATCTTTTTCTTACCTTTTCTGGGGAGAAGGTATTTTGTTTTTGTTTTTGGAAATGTTAAGTGGTAGAACAGGTCATTTTTAACTGGACCTGAGTTCTGTGGAGAGCCCAGGTTGGAGCCAGTGAGTGCAATCTGCTGACTGAGAGCTTCTGGCCCAAGGACTCCCTGAAACCTACATCTGGCAAAGCTCTCATTAAATGTATCAGATTCTCGCAGGGGTAGTTGGAGTCTGGAGAGAAGAAGCTTTATCTCCCAAGCCGTGGATGTTTCCTCCAAGCTGCCTTATCTGCACTGAATCTAGCAAAACACCCACGGGCCCA